CAGCATGGCCTGCATTATAGTTAAGGCTAGTGTTAGAATATGGCAGAATTAGGGGAATTATATCACTTGCTGCTGTGCATATGGGCGAAAATTTCCAGTTGAAACACCGTGATTATTAAAAATTAGGTGATATAGTACTGATAAGGTGATAACAAGGTGATCAAGTCGTATGACATTTAAATAAGTAAAATAATTTATGCACACTAACGCTAATGCTAATTATGGCACTTCTTAAACCTTTTCCTTGCCAACTTTGTAATAATTCATACTCTTCAAAATCATCGTTAAGTTGCCATGAAATCACAAAACATAGTATGAATCATATTGTTCCACACTACCAACACTTACCTACGATATCTGAAGGAATTATCAATCATTTTCGTGCTGTGCTTCTTCAAGATATTAATAGTAAACTGGGTTTTCATCAAACAAATGAAGGGTTAAAACATATTCAATGGAATTTTCCAGAAAACTTATTTTATTTTTTCTTTTCAAATGAATCTGGATTTTCATATCGACCATCTTTACGGAGATATTCATGTGTTTTTAAAGGGCAAAATGGGTATAATCGAATAGGAACCATACTGAAATGCAAATTCTGGAGAAAAAATAAAAATAAAAATGGATGCGAAACCTTTGTATTAGTAGAAAACAGAGATAATAAAGGAACATTATTGAAAAAAATATAGAATTTATTTGGTGAGAAAAAACGATTACAAAACAAGTAGATAATAAAATGTATTACATATCTCATGGAATACTAAAGTGTACTTTAGAGTTGTGACGTGAAACTGTTGAAATAATAAATTAATTATTTGGCAAATCACAGTAAATTATTAATTATTACTGGTAATATTAACGTTGGTTTTTTGATATTGAAAATTAAAGATACAATATAGCTTTATAAAATACATTTGTGTTTATTTATTAAAATTTTGGTATTTCTATTTCTTGTTTTGAACAAGTAATAGGTAATTTATTTATTCTATAATATATTTGTCGATTCTCAAAATCACAAATTTGATATGTAGCAGATCGCTTTCCTTTTCCAATTCCTCCTCCCATAATGGTATTACCAAAAAACAATTTAACCTAAAGAAATCAAATTAGTACGTACTGGTACAGTAAATATGTATAATACATGTTATATTTTAAAATAACTACTTACGTCTCATGGTTTTTTTTTTCTACACTAGATGTAGTAAACTACCGCAAACAAAGATTTTGTTGATATAGTTCCTTCATAAATAATGGTGTATGGCATGCTAAAACATGCATATATGGTGTTATATCAGTTTGTTGATATAATCCTTCTTGTATAATTTGGCCATTTAATGTTTTTTTTGTTGGTCTAGCAAATTCTTGAACCCATTTGTGAGCATCTTGTGAAAACTGATTAATTTCTTCTTCTGTTAAACTATCACTTTGCATTGTATGATATAAAGAATAAAAATTTCGTCCTAAGTTTTCAATATCACTACCATGATTTTCAGTAATAAAATTAGAAACTGGAAATTTTTTAATAATTTTTAACTTAGCTGGTCCCATTAATATACGCCAATTCCATTTTGTAGATTTGGTTTTTTTTTCTTGTAAAAGAAATTTAAAGCTAGTAACACCAATAGTTTGCATTGTATGTTCAATCTTTTCTCGAATAGATATAGAATTAGCTTGTTTTGTATCAAAAGCGGTTGGGTCATGCATTAGTTCAAAAAAAAAACATTCAAGCAATATATCAACAATTCGAAGCATCATATGTAGATTATCGGGTACACAATATATAGAATTAAGAAATGGTAATAAACTAGTATGAATTCGACCTAATATTTTTTAAAAATATAAATTAATTATTTAATAATAATGGCATTTATTTACAATTATTATACATAGCGATAGTAAATTTATACCTTTAAGATTTCCAGTATTTTACCAATTTTGATTTACATTCCACCGTTCATTTTTGTGACAGTTATACCATAAACAAAAAAAATTCGAAATTGGTCCATTTATTCCTAAAACAAGTGACATATATTTCCAATCTGCTGTAAACCAAAATTCAACTTTCCAATGAATATTATTTTTATCTATAAAGCCTTCTTGGTGTAAAATTATAAACTCTTCTATAATTTGTTGGTGAGCAATTGATAATGATTCGTATTTCTCAGTTCCCAGATAAAGACAAATACTATTAATATAGTTTTTTTTTATTATTAAATTTTATATTTTAAAATTATAATACATAATATATACTTACCAATGTTGATTATTTGAACTGAGTACTTTATTTTTTTCATTTAGAATGCATGCAGTTAACATTACATGATTATTGTATTTGTCTACTTGTCATCCATCTCCACTCAATTTAATTTTAATAATATCATTTTTATTTAAAACAGGATTATCATTTGTTGTTAAATCCGGAATTAGTGTAATTAATAATTTAGTTAAAGATCTTATTGTACCATTTTCTATTTGAGTTTTATTAATAAATATCTCATTATTTTCTTCTAAAGTAGAACAAATTGGTAAAAATCCAACTGTAGAATTACTATTAAAACTTTTAATTGGAATATCTTCTTCTATAATTTTATTAATTTCTTTGCGACATGCTGCTAGAATATGCTCTCATTCTAATAATGGCTGAACTGCTGCCAAATGCCTATAGCTATCTCTAGAAATTAATCCTTTATCGCATGCATAAATAATAGAATCAATTGATGCTGATCTATCTTTAGATTCAGTAAACTTGATTTTAATTAGTTTGTTAGAGATATTTAGTTCAAAACAATCCAAATTTGTATTAGAAATATTATATTTTTCTAATAAGATTTTAGAATAAGAATAGAGATCAAAAGCAAATTCTTTTAAATGAAAATTTTTTTGTGTATCAGATTTTAGATATAAAAAATTTTTTCTTTGAAATTCATTTTTTTGACGTGATTCAAGACATTGTAAATCCAAACCAAATAAAATTATTCCTGATAAATTTACATTTTTGTTTTGTGTTAATTTCTGTTTAAAAATCAAATAGTTTATTAATAGTTATTTTTATTAAAATTTAATAATAGAACATTATAAATTTTTTACCTGTACAAATTGCTTCGCAGCATCACTAGAAGATCTTGTGCTAATTATTTTGTGTTTTTGTCCAGTTTTTTCTTTCCAAGTTACTTTAAACTTTACTTGTCCATTTGGTTGATAATTTGTTTGACATATAACATTTTGTTTATATATCAAAACTTGAACTTTATATTTATTTGGAATTTGATATTGACTTCTTTTTGTTTATTGTATATTTTTTGTTGGATAATAACCCAAATTTAAAACTTTATATTGATAATTATAATTACGATTACCAATACAACGTGTTATATCAATTTTAGGATAGTTATCTTTAAGGTTTAATATATGCATAGTCTTATAATTAAATATAAAATTTATAATTAATTAGGTATGATACAAAGATTTATAAGTAATCAGGTTATAATTAAGTACATATGTACAAAAATTTATAATCAGGTTACAATCAAATACATACAGAAAAAAATTTATAAGTAATTAGGTCACAATCAGGTACATATTTTATAAGTAATCAGGTTATAATCAGGTACATATGAACAAAAATTTATAAGCAAAAGTCATAAGCAATTCATAAGTAATTCATTATCGGGTTTACAATTTCTGATCAAAAAATCACTTTTATTCTCAATAATTATGCCATATCACATAAATGATTGACTCAAATTTTATTTAAACTTATTACTCACATTAAATCATCACAAAATTGGAAATTTTCACCCATATGGTCTGTAGCAATCTCTAAAGCTTATAGGTAAAAATCTAGAAATTACAAAACTAAGTCATAAGATTATAATAGCCAATTGGATAAAAAAGAGACACCTTATTTCATATGCCTATAAACCATACTCTATATTGTACATTGTACAAACTTCGTTCCTGGTACTTTACATTGTATGTTGTACATACTCCGTTTCTGGTATAATAAATACTAACAAATAAACTTTTTTATTTAATAGAGACTGACGTTATAGAAGTGACTTTAGATATTGGTTCATAAGAACGATTCAACATCTCTATACGAAGTACGTCATCAATAATTGATCACTGGAATGAATAACAGAAGGAAACGTTGATGTTACACAATTGATTTTACACATGATGTGAAACACATAAAAAAATTTTTTTTTATGTGTTTCACATCATGTGTAAAATCAATTGTGTAACATCAACGTTTCCTCCTGTTGAAATGAATTTAATAATTGACTGCATTATGAACAAACCTAAGTTATTTTTCAATTGGTTGAAATTGAGAAATAATGTCACCAAATTTTGTGATCAATGAAGAACACATTCACTATTATTGTTTAAAATGACACAAGTTTCTTTGGATTGCAATTATTATAAATACCATTCATTTTTTCCTTTACCTCAAAAATTCTAATGCGCAAAGTTATATTTAAGATATTGAAATCAGTCAAAACGGCGAATCAGTCACTCCACAATCAAAACCTTGCGTAACCTATGGTTGGCTTAGTCGAAAAGAGGTGTTTAGATTTGGTTAATGGTTTGGGACCATAAGTAAGTATTTCTCCTTCTTTACTTGTCTTGGGTTTTTCCTTTCTTAGCTTTCTACTAATTCTATTCTCAATTACCTCACTACTTTGGGTAATTGAACAACACTATAACCACAACTATCACACTTCTTCAAATAGTTGGGCTCGAGTAACCACGGTTGATCCTGGTACTTTAGGATACAACAACCGGAAGGGGGTGTAACAATACTACAGAATAGGACAGATAATTGCAAGAATCAGGTTTTATGATCAGGGACTTAGCGATTAGTTAATGTAATAAAGGAGATGTTTATGTATTTATTATTATGTATAGGGTCAGATATTATTTAATAAAGCGAAGTTTGGGTCCCTCCCCTTTTAGGGCCTTCATGGCCTTTATTTATCTTAAAATTCTTTATTTATATTTGACATTCTACGTATATTATGTCTGCTACTCTACTACTTCGTTCTCAACTCGTACTTACCCGACATGGCCTTTGTGACCTACGTAGACATAGTAGATTACATAGCCAAAGTAGCTTGAGTAGGCCAGGTTACTTTAATTTGGAGTAGCTGTAATCACGTGCCACGTGACTTAGCCAGATAACAATATGTATAATGTTTTGGTTACTATTACCAATTTTTTTATTAACGGTTCATTTTTTTTAAATATTTTTTTTTTTGATGAAACTGACTTTTTACAGCAATTATTTGTTCTGTTTTTTTTCTTGGCTGTTGTTTTAACATCTCCTTTAGTTGTCAGCCAAAATAATCTATGTGAATCAGAAATATCATTACTCTATTAAATTACTTTCAAACTTAAGAATATGCCCTATTTTGTTCCTTTTGAAATATGTGTTCAATGCATTATATTTAAACTTGTTAAATGTATAATTTATGGTAATTATGTTGAACTTCATAATATAGATCTTTGGTCGATTCTGGCACATTTCTTATACTTATGATCAAAGCAAAATGATATGTGGATTTGTTTGCTATCACTGTTATATTAATTTAGAAAAAAATGTTCAGCATTGTGTGCATTGTGGTTTTATTACTTAATATATAGATATTAAATCTTTTTAAAACTATGAGTTATATTTAAACACCTTTTAATTAAATTTATAATAAATTATCTATTTTTTTTCTTAATAATTATTTAATTGTATAAATACAATCAATGTCTTAAGTAAATTATAATTCATTTGAAGTTTTACATATCTTTTAGGGCTCTGCAAACCAGGCATGTGCCTGTGCCTAACAAAAATCTTGGCACAGGCATAGCATAAAAAATTTGGTATTAACTTGCCAGGCATCTTGCAAACATAAGCATCAAAATGCCAGGTACAAGTTATATAATTTGTGCTTATAGACATATAAGGCATAAGTATAAATTAACCTGACACTTTTATATCTAAGACACAAAATGTTGAACTTAAAAGTATCTTACATTTTAAGAGCACAGACATGAAAGTATTTAACATATTTGTGCTATAGCACAAGCATGATACATACCCAATATGTCTGTATTGTACTCTAGAATTATATGTCATGCATTATAACTTCTGCATCCAATTGATTGAAAAGACATGGGTTAAGATTAGAAAAGAGATCAATTAATATCAAATCATATAAATTAATAAACAGAGATATGTAATAGAAAAGCCATAGATAATAATTAATATATATATAGAATCTGACAAAAGGCATTTTTGATACTTCAACACAATAGTCTTAGATAAACAAATTTTTGACCTAACTCTTTCTGTTATATAACAGTCTCCTAATATTGTTATTTTCTTTTTTTTAATTTGAATAGACAGAAACATCAACTGATGCTGTTTCTTACTCATTCTTATAGTGCAGAATAGGCTGGGCTAAGCCTGGAAATTTGTGGGTTGAGTTAGGCTTTAGTCCAGTTTGGGCTCATAATTTTAAATCTGCTATTGTTTGGGCCAAATACAAATTGGACTTGTTAAATACTAGGCTAGGTTTAGGCTTTATAAAAAGATCTGATCAAGCCTAATAATATCTGATAAACTTATAGTCAAAAACATAACCTAATACTAAGTAAATTAACCACATCTTATCTTGCTCTAGTTTCTTAAGGATTAGTGTTAGTAAAAATTAGTATGTATGTATAGTTAAATTAAAGTAAAGGATTAGCAAAAAAAAATAAAAAACAAAAAAATGCAGTAATACTTATCATCTAGTATTGATCAAAGGTTTTTGGGTTCATTGGTTATAGGGTTAGATCATGATTATATCGATTAGAATGCATAAAAAATGTGTAATCAAAATTGAAATTAGATAGAGCATCTAAAATTAAATGATATAATGATGTAATCAATTTAAGTTAAAATTTATATATAAAGGATATGGAAATAAAAAAAAAGATTACATTTTACTTTCATTCTAAATAAATACAATAAATCAATAAGTGTGAATATATATCTTCATATTGAGGTGTTGGTAATAATTCTTACTAGTTATTTTGTTACCAATTATATATATATATGCATACATGATCATAAAATGCATGTACTACTGAGTTTTTTAATTAACTTTTCTTTATAGTGTTATAAGAACATTCAGATGCATAAAACACATGTACTACAGGGTTTTTTTAATAGCTAATTAGTAATTATTATAAAATTAAATTAAAGCACTTTCCTTTATAGTATTATAAGAATATTCAAATACATGAGCTGTAAATATTACATAATAATATAAGATGAAAAAGTTAACTTAACTTTCATTTTAATTAGCATATACACACAGAGAATTGAGTTCCAGAAACCAGGCAAGAATACCTAATATAACAGTGTAGGTTAAAAATAATGTAACAATTATCTGAAGAAACATTAGATAAACAAAAAGAAATATAAAAGTATAGCATATTGTTAAAGATGTGTAAATGAAAATATAAATATAAATTTTTTTTAGGTCATTTTAATAAGCAGGCAAATTGTTTGTAGTATTAAATAGTTTTGCACAATAAATATTAAATGTTCATGTTAATGTATATTCAAATTTATTGACCAAATTTTACTAATTATAATGTAATCTTAACATATACAATTTTATCCAAAAATCTAATATTGAAATATCACAGTATTGTAAAAAAATTTTAAAGTTTGCAAAATAAAAATTTTTATTAATTCAAGTAATACAAACTATTTATTCATTTACTATATAACTATTTTTTACTATTTTCACTATCTTATAAGATTATAGGTATTTATTATTTAATACTGCATATTAACTCAGCTTTCAATAGCATGATTTAATATTTTGTAATCATTATTTTTTATATCTTTATACAAGATTAATAATGTCTTTTTTATACACTAACACTTAATTAATTATATTTATTTACTTTTAGAATAGAATAATTCTATTATAATATAAATAGAAAATAGATAATGGTATGTTGATGTTTATTCTAAATTAGATTTATTAGATTAGCATTAATTTTATTTATTATAATAGAAATCTACTCTGCAATCAGTAAAGAGAAAAACTCTAAAATAACAACTATTAATAAAAATTCTAAAAAAGTAAAAAATAGTACAAGTCTATCCAATTTCAAAAGATGTAAACAATATTTGTTAATAAAAGTTATGAAATTATTATTACTACCAAAAAACATAAAATAAGCAAAGAACCATCCTGGGTGTTTCAAGAAGAACATTTAAATATAATTCCAAAAAGGGTAAGAATTTATTTTATTATATTGTAAAAATTTCTATTATTAGTTAATATTTATAAAATATAGTTTTTTTGGTAGGACCATATTCAATGTTCACATTGCAAAAATGATTTAAAGTATAAAAGTAT